CTGAATATTAGAAATAACCTTTATTATGTAAAACCATGCATTTACAAAACATAACAATATCCCCAATTATTTATAATAGAATAAAACCCAAATCCAGGGAGGGAACGTAAAAAAAGGGGGGGAATATTCACCTCCTGTATTTAATAAAATTTAGATTATTCCCTCACCGAGGCTAGAATAATCCCTAATTTTATGGCAGGACAGAAGGCTTCATATTTGCAATTTTAACGCCCAAATAGTAGAACCAAAAGCAATATGAGATAGGAGGACTGAAATAAAAGGAGAATGGAAAAAACGATTCCCTAAACCAAGCAGCCGTGTAGAGAAAATGCAGAAGGGACCCAACGGCTTCCAAAGTTGTTGAGGTGACAACACCCCGAACCAAAAGTGTCCCAGAGGACCTCAAGGTCAGCCAATGAGAGGATCCACCAAATCCAAGAAAACAGTCCAAAACGGCCGTACGCAGAAATAAACAGCTGTCCATGAGTAGACGGACGAAAGAACCAGATCCTGGATCTACATGGTCGTGTACAATCTGTCAACAGAGCCGTGGCCTATCCGGAGAATAAAAATGAAATGTGTGGAGCAGAAGCCGATGTACTGAACGGCAAGAAGGAAGAAGACACTACGTCGATACCATGACGTCAGAACACGATGAAATACAAGATGTACTGGGGGAAACCGTAAGCAGAAAAAACTGGTGCAAGGCAAGTCCTTGTCATCAGGTCATTCCTCAAGGAAATGCAGAACACACGATACCACTAGACTTGAGGAATAGCGAGAGATAGGGCTCCCGTACGGTATACTCCTCTTGGTAGACTGCAGACCAAGAGAAAACGCACATGAGTTGTCCACTAGCTGACATAGGATGTGAATGGCCCCATACGATCCTACCCTGAGAGGGCAACTCAGCCAGACAGACAATGGGGACAGCCATGATAAGGACCGCCATACGGACCCAAACACCAGTCGTGGCAGGCTATCCCTGTGGATCCCACATGGGACATTAAGAGACAGGGAGTCTTAGCTTGAAGCAAAACCCAAAGTATCCTGTAGGTAAAACGGGATGCGTACGCCCCGATGGAGACCAAGCTTGGAAAACTCGTCCCTCGCCTCGCAGAGGGTCCGGCAGCCAGCTGGAGAACCTCTCCGTATGGCGGTTCGCACCGAATGTAATCATGCCAGTACTCGAGACCCTGGAGGGTGAGGCAAACAATCATTGGGATCCCTCCATGGTCGGGTGAAGCCGTCCGCCACATGAGTGTCTCTTCCCGCAGACATTCTGTCACAAATGACGAATACTTGTCCAGAAGCTATAGCTAGCGATCCTACTGCAGTCCATAGTGGGCAACGAGTGATAAGTCCATGCCGGAAGGTCGCGAGCAATACTGTGAATGTTGAACAAACCTGCAGGTAGTTCCATGCAGTTTGCGTAAAGAGGTCCCTCCTCCGGACTCCAGAGTCCAGGCTGAAGTTGGTTGGGGTCTGAAACTCCTAGGTATGCCAGGTTCCCCTATGTCAGAGTCATCAATTAAGTTTTAGATGAGCTTCATCCGAAGGTCACATGATTTGGTCATACCAGGCCGAAGACCCGAGAAAGCGTCATGTTGGAGCGGCTGATAGTACCGGATCCTGGAGGTATGGCTTCCATGGCGAATAGCAACCAGTCAATTGACCGGGTTGGGCCCCTAAGTGTGACCCGCGGGTTGCGGAGCATATGCCTGGTATTTTCCTTGAAGATGTACATCTTGGTCCTCGGGAGGCGGAGCACCTCCTGGACCGAATATTCCATGAAAGACCAGAAACTGGGTTGACTGGGAGTGAGTCAGATTCAATCCATGCGGGTTTCTCTCATGTGTATTTGAGGAAGAGAACCAATCGTCCACGCCGAGCAGCTCTCTGAGGGGATGAGTGACCTCTGTCTCGAAGTGTCAACAGACGACATATGCACTGGGAGCATGTAGCGTGGGGATGGGGCAGGAGTCCACTCCACCGCACCCTTCGTCCAGCAGGGCAACTGCGGAATGGACACCTCTTGGTCATGCGTATCGCTCATGGAACGGTCCAAGGTTCCGCAACCTTGATCCGGAGTCCGGGCACGGTCCGAGAGACCTCTGGGGCTAGTTAAGGAGGGACCCTATGAATAGAGACGTGCCAGCTCAATTTGTATGTGAGGGTAACTCCGGAGAGCAGACCCAGCACTTGGATGCCAAATCCGTCAGTTTGATGTCCAGCTTGGACAGGGGCCGTAACCAACTACACGATACCTATAAGTCATATCGGTCCATTCCCAGTGGGAATTTAGTCTTCTCCGCTTTCCAAGCTGTAACGTGCCATTCGTCCCGAGGAAACATCTGTGTCCGCGTGTCATCGACATCCACTGGTTAGTCCCAGATAGAGTGCAAACCCCGTGTCAGGTGTTTGCGGTGTCCTTTCCGGACTCCGTCATGAAGACTGATCCTCTTGATGAATCCATCCGTTAGCCAACGCGTACCAGGGGTGCTTGGTGTAGCGTCTAGGATGGCCGGTGGAGTGTCCCCTGTAGGGTACCGATGGTTTCTGGCAGTGAGGTCAGCGGTGCAGCATGAGGACAGGCCAAGTGACCTTCTGGGTACGGGAGATTTGTCCTTCAGTCATGATTGCACAACTGCCATAGAGGTAACACTGTCGGAGTGATACCTGGTGCGGCCAGCTGGGGTTCACCCAGCATGCAAGAGTGGGTCACCCAACAAGCACAAGCATACCATGCAGTATAGGCCAGCAGGGGAGGGGGTCACCCTCAGTCTGAACATAATCGGACACTGTAGGTACAGTAGTGCCGTAGTGGTTAGCCGTATAATAAAGTAACCAGACATTGCCGGTCCAGCAGTGCAGACGGCAGGAGGGGGTCACCCTCATATAACCATAACCGGGCATTGCAGATCCAGCAGTGCTGTAGGTAAGAGGGGGTCACCCTCAGTGTGGTATCATAGAGGTCTGTACACCCAGTAGTGTAGTCAGCGAGAGGGGGTCAACCTCATTATGGTTATAGCGGGACCCTGTAGGTCCAGCAGAGTAGTCCACAGGAGGGGGTCACCCTCAGTATCTGCGTATAGCAAGGCACTGTAAGAACAGAAGCTCAATCAGTGGGAGGGGTACCCTCTTTTATGGGAATACCCGGACGCTGCAGGTCCAGTGCAGACTGTAGGAGGGGTTCCCCCTCGGTATGATAATAACAGGACATTGCCGGAGCATTAGTGTAGGAAGCAGGAGGGGGTCACCCTCAGCATTAATCCTACAGGACGCCGTAGAGCCAGCAGGGTGCTCATAGGTAGCTATGTAGCCAGAGGGAGGGGGTCACCCAGCCCACAATGGTGTCACACGTCCATTATTATGGTCCAGTAGCGGGTAGAGCCCCAGAAATATGGACAGGAGGGGGGGGGGGGTCACCCCCCTGTAATAACAGGGCTGTATGTGGGGCCAGTTAGCCCCCTGAGGGGTAGAAGGGTCCATATAGCGAGAAGCTGACTCACAGACCACTCAGGTATTATATTAGGATACAAATCCTAGGCAGGGGAGCTAGGTGCTGAAAAACAGGCCATTTCATTTTTATGAGAAAATGACTGAACCTTAAGAGAGACTTGATTAGCATATAACACATGTGGCATAGTCTTGTTAAACAATGATTTTTGTAAGCAATGATTTTTTATTTGAGCAGTAACATGCCCCTTTAAATCTGAGATTCACATTTAATTAGTAAAAAAGCGTGACAAGTCTACTGCTAAGATAGAGAACCTTGTCACATTGCATCAGACATCATAGTAAGCTGCAGTTGTGAGCTGTGAGAGTGCCTGGGACAGATCCTGCTATCCAGGATCTGTTACATATGCAGCATGTGAGACAGGCACAGTAAGTAGGGGGATAGCTGAAAAACTGGGCTATCTCCCCTGATATAGGGAGAGGTTATAGTGGCCACATGGCCAGCAGGGCAGTTCAGTGGGTGAGACCGGGCTGTTCGCAAAGCACGGAGCCCATGTGGCTCTGAAAAATGGCCGCCGCGGCTGCAAAAACCGAGCACGGCCTACAGCGTGGTGATCACGCGGCACTGCCACGGTTGAAAAAGCTGCTCAGCAAGCGGCCAGGGGCCGCGGGGAGCCGGTGGGGAATAAGGGAGAAGGGTATGGGCGACAGAGGAGGGGAAACAGATTACAGGCAGAGTCAAAGCATCATAGCAGGGGCACCCATTCCCCATAAAGCAGAGTGAGAAAAACTGCATAAAGTAACCCAGAATAACAATAAATTAATGAGCAGTATCCAGAATCTTTCAGATAAATAGCCTAAATACAGCAACAGATGTTAACAAGTGATATGCCGCGTGTGTGTGTATGTATCTATATATATATGTGCTGTTAGTGTGCTGTGTGCTGTGAGGGTGCTGTTAATGTAATGTGAGGGTGTTTGTGTGTGTGTGAGGCTGTTTGTGTGTGTATGTTTGTCCTGTGAGGGTGCTGTTTGTGTGAGTGTCGTGTATTTGTGAGGGTGCTGTTTGTGTGTGTGTGTGTGTTTGTGAGGGTGCTGTTAGTGTGCTGTGTGTGAGGGTGTTGTGTTTTTTTTTTAAAGGTGCTGTGTGTGTTTGTGAGGGTGCGGTTAGTGTACTGTGTGTGTGTGAGCTGTATGTGTGTAGGTGCTGTATGTGTGTGTGCTGTATGTTTGGAGGGATTTGGCAGATTAGTAAATTCTTGCTGCCATGTGCCATCCCTGGTGGTCCAGTGGAGAGTGAACTCTAGCCTGCGGGGCTAGAGTTAACTCTTGCGAGATCTGAGCGTTGCCGCAGCAACGCTCAGATATCGCGAGAGGAACCTGGCGGAGCTTCTGTCTAGAGCTCCCTGGGTCCTCTCCTGCCTCCCTCCATGCTGCTGTGGGCCGGTGAGGTAGATCTTTGGTCTCCCCGCCGGCCCATGGAGGCTTAGAGCAGAGCCGGCACTCAGATAGCGCCGGCTCTGCGTGTGTGTGTGTGTGTGTGTGTGTGTGTGTGTGTGTGTGTGTGTGTGTGTGTATATATATATATATATATATATATATATATATGCGTACACACACACACTCACAAACACACACACATACACTCACAGACACACACACACACACAGACACACACACACATACATTCAGAGACACACTCACAGACACATGCACTCAGACACACATTCACAGACACACACTCACACACAGACACACACACATACACTCACAGACACACATTCACAGACACACACTCACACACAGCCACACACACACACAGACACACATTCACACACACACACACAGACACACAAGAACAAATTATTATATTTTAATAAAAAAAAATGTAAACCCAGCCTCCTACCTGGAGTGCTGGCGTGGACTTGTCCCTGGGGTCCAGTGGGGCGGGCGCCTCTCTCCAGCTCAGCCGCGGCGAGGGAGCTGTCTGCTCTCTGCTGCCTCTCGCCGCGCGGGCTGTCTACAGTAGCTGGGAGCCGGAATATGCCATCATATTCCGGCTCCCGGCATCAGTGCGCGACGAGAGGAAGCAGAGAGCAGACAGCTCCCTCGCCGCGGCTGAGCTGGAGGGAAGGAGGTATCCATCACTTCTTGCCCCCCCCCCATGACAGGGGCAAGAGGTGAGACAGGGGGCGCTGAGTGTCTGCAGGAACAGCGTTCCTGCTCAAAAAAGTGCAGGAACGCTGTTCCTGCAGGACTCAAACCATAGGCGTGCCACGGGGATTAGGATGTGCCCAGGCACACCCGGCACATCCCGTGCGCACGCCTATGCCAGCAATAGACTGCCTAGATAAACCCAGCAATAGACTGCCTAGATAAACACAGCAATAGACTGCCTAGCTAAACTCAGCAATAGACTGCCTAGATAAACACAGCAATAGAGTGCCTAGATAAACCCTGCAATAGACTGCCTGGATAAACCCAGCAATAGACTGCCTAGATAAACACAGCAATAGAGTGCCTAGATAAACCCAGCAATAGACTGCCTGGATAAACCCAGCAATAGACTGCCTGGATAAACCCAGCAATAGACTGCCTAGATAAACACAGCAGACAAACTGTTAAAACAAATCCAGCAAGAACCCTGCCTAAATAAAACCAGCAATTAAGCTGCCTAAACAAACCTAGCAAATAGACTGATTAAATAGACTGTTTAAACAAGCAGCATGTAGGATAAAAAAACAACCCAGAGCATAGACAACTCTGAGTTGGTGAGTGCTCACCTGGAGGCAGCAGCAAAGAAAGAGGAAGTGGAAGAGCCTGCTTAGGGGTTTTATACTACTGTTGCTTTGTTCTGATTGGTTGTTTTGAAAAGTTCTGTTAACTGTTTCTTTGCTGCTGGAGGTTTCAGTAAAGAAGGTAAAGCAAATATGAAGCCTCCTGTCCTGCCATAAAATTATAATTACTAAAGCAATCATGCTATTTTTTTTCCCTGCATCAGAAACGTGTCAGTGACAATGTGTAATATAATACAGATACTATAATTAATGGTATAAAATAAACACATAATGTGTTACAATTACAAAGGTGGATAGACTTTGTGAATATCTGAAACGCAATTGAAGATTATTGCTAAAATGCCATATGCAGCTGCAGTCTGGCCTACAAACAAATATATTAGACATACATAGAAAAGTATAACAGCTAATTACCCAGATGAATAATTGAATCATGATAGTTAAAGATCATATGATTGCAATAACAACTGCAATAATGAATAATGTTTAAACTTTAAAAGAAAATGTGAAATGTTTTTATTAAATCAGAAACTACTCGATATTCGTTTAAGTTTGCACAGTGGTATAATTAATATAAGTGAAGTACTTCAACAGTTAAAATTTAACTGAAAGACAGGCAGAAACATCACTTCACTTATCACAAACCTATATTTATAATGATAAAAATGTTTAGTCTGCCAGAGCTAAGGCCAGTGAATGGAAAGTAAAAGAGTATTATGGATTAACCCGTCCAGGTGATTTACATGATGATTTTGGAAATTGATGATTTAGGTCACCTATTGCAAACTGGTGAAAAGATGTGAAAGATATAAATTCAACATCCATACCACTCTATGTGGTACACGTAATCAAATATTTTATCGTTTTTTCAAATACCAAGAAAATGTTATTTGGTTTGTGATGGCTAAAGGTACATATACCTGGTGGCAATGATCCTGCCACATCTATTGATTGTTGAATCAATACATCATGCATATGATTATTAATTCATATTCTGATTGTAACATACCCCCACTTCAACCAGTTATAGTTACAACAGATTCTGATATCTATTGTTATGGAAGTGTTAAAATCACTTATACAAAGGTAGAGCTAAAATATAAATACCTTCAATATTGTATCTAAGTGCTTTTTTAACTCACTTTTAGAAATATTAAATATTCAAATCATCTTAAGTTACACCCAAAAGCCACTGTTAAAAATACCTGAACAATTAAGATTCACATTGTTAAGCATCCAATCTCACGAACGTAACTTTCCACAATGGCTGTCAGATCTTGGTAAAAGAAGGTTCTCTGGTATCTTAAGCCACTAATAACTGTAGTTATTATATTTACTAATTGTAACTTAGGGAATAAGAAAGATAATTAACGTCATATTTCCAATTACCAACTATTCTAAATAGATTGAGAGATTTTGAATAAAACAGTATTTTTAACATTTAAAGAGAATGTAATTTTACATACCATTGTGAAAAAGGTGGTAAATACTTTGCTGCTTCAAATTATCCTTATATATCTTAATCATATACAAGAGTGTTTATCTTTAAAACAAAACACTAGAAAGATTAACTATGTTACTATTTCATCTATCATTATTATACAAAGTATAACAAATGTAAAGATTTTTCCACAGATTTTACCTGTTAACATTTTTAGCACAACAGCACCTGATCTCATTGAGATGTAGAGGTGTTACAAAGATTCCAATACAGTAAAAAGAGGAGTTCTTGAGAATCCACTTCGATTGCTGTATCAACATAACATTTACTATAATGGGATCCATGTCACTAAAGACAATGTCTTGGAAATGCTGTCAATTAATTTATTCCGTAAAAAAATATCGGAGAGTATCCAATCTATACACATCAAAAACGGTGGAAAAAACTAAATAAAAAAAGCAAAGACAAAGACAAATACCAACGCCATCACCACCGTGATAACAGATGATGCTGATTCAATATCTGCAACCAATTCTATCCAAATACTTGGAAAGCTGGACTCTACAACCTATACTCTACAAAAAATACCCGGGTATTCTACAAACACAACCTCCAGCAATGTATCTAAGGAATGTAAACTTCTACAGGCCTTTAAAGACTTTGGATTACAAATACAATTACTACTTTTAACTTTGGATTCCAATTTGTGTCCGGATCCATCCAAGAATATCTTACTCTGGAACTTGGTGTTCTTTTCAATTCTTTCCCAGACAAAAGCTTTGCTCATTTTAATCAACCACCTTTACAGGCAAAGATCACACTACAGACATTTTACTGTTACAACAATGATCAAAGATGCTGGGAGCAAAACTCCGTATGTTAACCTATTAATGATATTTGCAAGCATTTAATTTAATCTTATAAACTGCTATAATGGATTTTATATTTATATTTTTATATAATAAATATCCAAAAAGACAGAATTCTATTGCTTCCAAGACAATCCTTATTTTATATTGTATTCTCAATTATTTATATATGTTAAGAGGATCTCTTACTAACTATATAAAATTATGGCTAAGCTATCTGTATAGTTAGTCCTACTAAGTTCTATGCTTTAAGACATTATAGTGGTAAATAAGGGAACCACCTGCGGTTACACAACCAATCCATTTTAAATACAAAAGCAAGCTTGGTTAGAAATAACTCCATGGTGGGTGCAAGAGGCAGGTTCCAGACCTGCAGGATAGTTTTGCGTCCCACTGCTGCTACGATAAGAAGGAATCGTTTGTTAGGCAGTGGGAGTCCTGGTAAGGGTCCCAAAAGCTAAAATTCAGGGGTAAGCGGTAAGATAGGCATTCCCCCACTATGTAAGTAACTGTTTAGCTTGGTCCAGAAATACTGGATTAGAGTGCACTCCCACAGACAGCGATACAGGTCAGCCTTGGTGTGTGTGCATTTGAAACAAGTCGCAGTCTCCCTTCTGGCCATGAGATGGAGTCGGTGAGGGGAGTAAGAAGCGTAGTTTTAAGGAACATTTCCCTATAAGAGACCATTGGTAGTGTCTGGCTATGGGTAAAGTGAGCATGTCTCCTGGGCTTATGTTTGGAAAATGTGTCTTCCACTTACCTATGCCTGTTTGTAAGGTGCTCCAGTCTGGGATATATCGCAGTATCTTATAGAGTTTGGAAATGGAATAGGCAATGGAGTCAGAAGAGCTCAACATTGTGTCTAGAGCATTGAACTTGTGAGTTTTTGGACAGTTGCTGCTTGAATTTGTTTGCAAGATGTCAGAATAGCCTCCCAGAGCTGCTGTTTGGATGTAAACTGCCTCCCATCCTCATAGATCTTTTGCTGGAGGATGCTCCAAAGGTTCTTAATAGGATTGAGGTCAGGGGAGGATGGAGGCCACACCATGACTTTCTCTCCTTTTATCCCCATAGCAGCCATTGATGCAGAGGTATTCTTTGCAGCATGAAATGGTGCATTGTCATGCATGAAGATGATTTTATTACGGAAAGCATAGTTCTTCCTTCTGTACCAGGGAAGAAAGTGGTCAGTCAGAAACTCCACATACTTTGCAGAGGTCATCTTTACACCTTCGGGGACCCTAAAGGGGCCGACCAGCTCTCTTCCAATAATTCTGGCCCAAAACATGACTCCACCACCGCCTTGCTGATGTCGCAGCCTTGTTGGAACAGGGTGGCCGTCCACCAACCATATACGACTCTATCCATCTGGACCTTTCAGGGTTGCACGGCACTCATCAGTGAACAGGACTGTTTGAAAATTAGTCTTCATGTATTTTTCTACCCAATGCAGCCGTTTCTGCTCGTGAGCATTGGTTAGCGGTGGCCGAATAGAAGGTTTATGCACAGTTGCAAGACTCTGGAGGACTCTACACCTTGATGTCCGTGGGACTCCAT